ACCCAGAACTGACCCTGGAACAACTCGGAAAGCTTCTGTGGGCATGTTTGCTTGGGAAGGGGGATGCTCTGTATCGGAGTCACATAACTCTCTATGGCTGCCTCAGCCTGATCCGAACGAACCACATTCAACTGGAGGAACTTGGAAAACATCTGACCCTTCCTAAGTGGCTGTTTGAAAATGTACTCTCAAATAGTTGTCCTATCGTTCAGCGACAATCTTCATCCCCTCTCTTTCTCTCTTAAATGCAGCATTTGTGTGACTAGTACTGATGGGGGTGCTGGACTCTTGGAAGTCCCAAAGACAATGGGGGGAGGGGGACCATCAAAGGTGCTGGCTTGACAGCCTTGGAGATTGAAGTCCTTTACATGTGCACAGAACAGGCACTGCCTGGGCAGCTTCAGGGCAAGCTGCCACCTCATACATGAGCAACCAAACTTTAAAACTGACTGCAGAGCTGGAATTCATATGCAAACTTGACACTATCAGACTGCCAGTCTCCATTTAGACACCATGGCTAGCTCACTACAGAGCAATGTTTCCCCTTTTGGTGTTCTCACCTTATCAACTGTAGGCAGTAGGACACGTCCAGCCTTATTGAATTGGCCTTGTTAGCACTTGTCCTCACTATAGCAGTGTAACACTCCATAAGTGGATATATCCCTCCCAAACTATATTTTCCACTTCATGCATCTGCTGAAGTGGGCTCCAGCTCATGAAAGCTTATGCCCAAATAAATTGGTTAATCTTTAAGGTGCCACCTAATTGTTTTTGCGTCATCAACATTCAACATATCTCATCCCTGCCCAGGGGTGCTGGAACAGTTTGTACAGTGGGTTTTCTGAGAGCCATTGAATCAATCTGTAAACCCTAGTTATAATGGAAAAAAAACACTTCAGACACCTCTGCACCTCTAGTTTCAGCACTTGGAGGGAACCCCTGCAAGGAATGAGAAGGGAGCTCAGTCTCCAATTTCCATTCAGTCTCATTGGAACGTGTTCATCGAAACATGCCTTCTGCCTGCCTCTTTCATATAATCGGTGCTCAGTAGGTTGAAATGGATATTTATACAGAGCCAGGACCTGTCAGCCAGTCCACCAGCCTGCAGACACTTGCTGCTATTGAGAGATGGGACAAGGGCCATAACATGTGATGAGCCAGAACAGTTGCTCCTCTGTGTACCATGCCCACCTGCCCTCCAGCTTCCCATCACTTTCTCACCTGTTGTGGGGCATTATAGGGATGCCCAGTAGGTGTCATGGGACTGGGGGTGACAGTGAGGGGTAGCAGGCATGCACACACCTGTGTATATATAATAATCTGCTGAGGGGGACACCTTGTTTTCCAGAAAGCCTTTTCCGTCAGGATAGTGTACAGGAGTGGGTGGGACATAACCCTGGGAGCACAGAAATTGGGGACTGGAGGAGGTAGGTCTCATGATGTAGCAGCCGTGCTCTGCACAACAAAACCAGAGCACAATTCTCAGTCCTGGCCCCTCACCAGCCCTAGGCTGGCAGTGAGAAGGGAATATGTATGCTCAGTCTTTGGGGGCAAAGAGCTAAACAATCATCTGCTCCATCTAGTTTATCCTTTAGGTGGGACCAAAGAGAAATCGGAGGCTGGGGTGCAAGCCCTACAGGCTCTCAGAATGCCCCTTTGGCTGTGAAAAGATCCTGTGATGGGAGCCAGACTGCAGAGCCCAGGCAACTCAGGCCTCCACGTCTCTCCTTTGGGCTGCCCTGATCATTCCATATTTTTAAAGCAAATTTCAGTCACGTGGCTGATGTAATAAGTGGTGGCGATGCTGAGTGACTGTGTTTGCAGGCCTGGAGCATGTTGCAGAATTCATTGGAATACTGAGAGAAGGGAGGAGACAAAGAGGAGTCTTAGCTGATACCCCAATCTCTGTTCTCACCCTCAACAGGTGCTATGTAGAAGACAGAAACTCCAAAGTGGCCTGGTTAAACCGTTCTGGCATCATTTTTGCTGGACAAGACAAGTGGTCCCTGGACCCTCGAGTAGAACTGGAGAAAAAAAGCCCTCTGGAATACAGCCTCCGGATCCAGAAAGTGGACGTCTATGATGAGGGGTCCTATACGTGCTCGGTGCAGACACAGCATCACCCAAGGACTTCCCAGGTTTATTTGATTGTCCAAGGTAAGAAACAAAAACTCAGAGTGGGCAAAAAAGTGGAGGTGAGGGTACTTTCATTATGGGGAATGTGTTGTAAAAGGCTAGAGAAAAAAGCAGAGACACCCCCACCCAGAAACCTGTGGAAAAAGCAATATAGGCTATGCATGGTCAATTCCTTTAATTCATACCACATCTCTCGTGTCATCTTCCACTATGATACATGAGACCTAACACTGCCTTGCTTACAAAGGCTTGACATAGCAGAGAATGTCGTTAATACTGGAGGTGTTCTTTTGCATTGTAGAGATGGCTCTGGTTGTACGGACACCTAGGCAAATACATTTGTTTTTATACCCCTTGGCACAGCAACAACATATGAGTGCCTCATCTCTTCCCTGCCTCTTTCTTTAGATAATCTTCATCACTGTGCCTTGCCCATCTCCCCTTCCCTGAGGCTCTCCTGCCTTCACTTTTCCATTCTCCATTCTGCCCAAGGGTGGGAAATTTGTGTTTTGACCAACACCTTGTAGTGTGGGGACTGGCCCATAGACTGTGGCGAGATGTCTCCTCCTGTCAGTGGGCACACCTTCCAGAGTCATGGCCCCTGTGAAACATTGTGCCAAATGTGACTGCCAGTACACCTGAAAGCCACTTCTTCTCACTTGTGTTTCTTAGCTACAAGTGTACTAATTCTCCACATAAAGGTCACAAAGAACTGGAACTCTAGTGATCCAAATTGGCATTACACATTAGTACAATTTATCTTAAATATATACAAAGTGATTCATGGCTTAATTACATTCTACAGACATGCCTATTAATTTAATTGCGTGACCCCTAATTCTTGTTGTGACTGTGCCTAAGTGAGTCACAATGGATTATGCCAAATTCAGAACAAACTGCTGAGAAATGAAGCAGACACACCCCAAAATGGTTGGTTATTTTCCCATAAAATATACCAGACCTGCAACACAAGTAAACCTCAGTCTCATCACATTAACTAACAAGAAATCAGAAAGGCAGTCTCCTCAGATATCGCAGTCCTTGTGAGATCACCAGAACCATGAGGCTTAATGTTGAGTCATTCTCCCATAAAATATACCAGAACTGCAACACAAGTAAACCATTCCAGGCCTTTTTATAGTTTCTGCCAGGTAGAGGGAAACCCATTGTGGCAAACAATTTGTAAAAAAAAAAAAAGAGGGGATTTTGAAGTCACATGAGCAAGTCACATGTCAATGCATGCTTTGCTGAGTAATAGCAGAGGACATTATCCATATTATAGTTAGTACATTCACATGAAACTCCATCGGGGTGGATAGGTTTCTTTCATGATTCACTGTATTCACTGATGAGCCATCAGCTTGAAGGGTTCCTTCATAATATGCTGGCTAAATATCTTGTGGGTGTTAACACAGGCGCAAACGTTTGAAATACAGGTACATAATTAATAAGTATAACTTCAGATAGAATAATCATATTCAGTAAACCATAACTTTTCCTTTGACACCTTACTTGGCACACTTTGTACAAGATGTGTTATGATTGTATAACAGAGGCATCAACAATGATCTACATGGTCCCATTTTAATAATATAAAGTCACACATTAGTTATATGAGGGAGTAAATAATCTATACCAGTCAAAATTATCTCCGTTTTATTTGCCTCTTTTCCAAGATGAGAAATCCCAGTAATCTCTCCTCTTACGTAAACTGTTCCATAACCCTAATCATTTTTGTTACCTTTTCCATTTCTAATGTTTTGTGTATATAGATATAGATAGGAGTGGGATGACCAGAACTGTATGCATTACTCAGGGTCTGAGCATACCCTGGATTTATACAGTTTCATTATATTTTCTGTCTTATTATCGCTCCCTTTCTTAATGGTTCAAAACATACTGCACCATTCAGGTTTTTGACTGCCACTGCACATTGAGTGCATGTTTTCAGAGCTCTATCCATGATGACACCAAGTTCTTTCTTAAATGATAACAGCTCATTAAGACACCATAATTGTATATTTATAGTTGGGATTGTTTTCCAAAATGCATTACTTTGCCTTTATCAACACTGAATTCAACCTGCCCTTTTGTTGCCCACTCACCTAGTATTATAACAGCCCTATGTAACTCTTGACAGTCTGCTTTGGACTTAACAGTCTTTAGTAATTGTGTATCTTCTGCAAACTTTGCCACCTCACTGTTTATCCCTTTTACCAGCTAAGTTATTACTAATGTTGAACAACATTGGTCCCAGTACAGATCCCTGTGGGACACTGCTATTTACCTCTCTCCATTCTGAAAACTGACCATTTATTCCTACTCTTTGTTTTCTATTTTTAATCAGTTACTGATCTTTGAGAGAGCCTCCCTGTCATCCTATGACCTCTTATTTTGCTTAAGAGCCTTTGGAGGGGGATCTTGTTAAAAGCTTCTGAAAGTCCAAGTGAGCTATATCCACCGGATCACACTTGTTCACATATTTCCTAACATCCTCAAAATTTTTTCTACTGGATTGGTTAGACATGATTTCCCTTTATAAAAGCTGTGTTGACATTTTCCCAACAAATTGTGTTAATCTATGTGTCTGATAATTCAACCAGTTTGCTTACTACTGAAGTTAGCTTTATGGGCTTGTAATTGCTGGGATTGATGCAGGAGTCTTTTTTTAAAAAACTGGTGTCATATTAGCTAACCAGACATCAGGTACAGATGCTGATTTTAAATGATAGGTTACATATCACAGTTAGGAATTCTGCAATTCATATTTAAGCTCTTTCAAAACTCTTGGTGCATACTCTCTGGTCCTGGTGTTTTACTACTCTTTAATCATTTCTTCAGTTCTGAGTAGATAGCTAGTTATTGTAATTGTTGGACCCAACCTTTAAAGAGAGACATGATCACAAACACAAAACCAACACATGATGGTTACAGGCCATTTCCTAATAGTTCTTATTCACAGAAAGTCGGATGGGCTTGAGTGTGCAAAAGGAGACGTACCTATTTGCCATTATACACTGATTAGAACTTACTGCCTTTAAAGGTCCAGAGTGACCCTTTGTTGTTGCTGTGTGGAAATAAAGTTGTATTTGTTTTCATTAGATTTAACCTGTTTAAGTGTATTGATAATTCTACTTGGTGGATTAGCTGTTTCCTGCTTAAATTAAGTGGGTTTCTCCCAATAAATGGTGTAGCGCTAGAGAGAGAAATCCTTTATTTATCCACAGAACACACAGCAGCAGGGCTGCCTCCCCATGTGTACACATTGCTTTGCCAATAAATCTCAACCTTGACCCAGAAGGACCCACCTCTATTGGTGAGAGGGGTAATCTGCTGAATATAGTGATAGAAGGACATTTAGGGCCAATTGTAATGGTGATTTATGTGCTGTGAACACTTCACCAAGTGCAACTGGATTGAGTCACATTAACTCTATTTATATATGACCTTCCAGACAGCCATCAGCTAGTAACAACATCTGAGTTCTACTGACTCAAACTAGTGACCTAGAGGTCATTTCATATTACTGATGTCAGAGCCACCAGGACACCCTTTGCTCTTTTCTTTGTGATCTTATTTTAAAACACCTTGAGCTGCGCCTTCAAATGGAATGCTGTGAAAGTTCAAGTGTCAGTTGCTCTAACAGGAAACCATGAGGATAAAGCTTGGAGTTTGGATCCCAGTGTAATTGTGTCCTCCCTGACTGAGTGCATTGCATGGGAGATGATGGAAGAGAAGAGGGTTAATAGTCTATTTTCTTCACTCACCAAGCAATAAGGGTGCATAAACACCGGCACCGACATCCATCTACTTGCAATTTTGTGGATTCAGAGCATGCTCTTGATTTCAGAGGGAGATTTCTGAGCATTAAAGCAGGGAAACTTGCAAATTTCCAGGGAAGATCCCTGGCACACCTGTATTGCCTCCCCACAGCAGTTCTCTCCTCACTTTTGCTTATCTAACTGATTTAACTTAAAAAACAACAAATAGTCTGGCAGCACATTAAAGACTAACAAACACTTAGATGGTATCATGGGTTTTCGTGGGCACAACCCACTTCTTCAGATGAATGGAGTTGTTAAAGGTTCAGTTTCTAAATAAATAGGGTGGAATGGCCTGAAACAATATGGTAACGATAAGATCCGTTAATGAGTGCCTGGATTATCTCAATGAGATGATCTCAGAGTCACCATATTGTTTCAATTCCACAAGCCAACCAGAAAGGGAAGCCTTGGAACTTAACTTCATTTACAGGTTTGATTTCTATCACAAAGGTATGAATAAAGACATTGGCTGGATGGCTGGCTACATGCCACATCCTAATGGCATAAAAAAAAACCCAGTGGTTTTTTAAGAACAATTTGCAACTTCTCTACAAGCTTCATGTAGCATGGATATTCTTATTGACTATTTCTTTCCCTTTTTTCTCCTTCTTTTTCCTTCTCTCATACCCCTCCCCCAGTCCCTATTTATTTAGAAACTGGATCTTTAATAAATCCATTCATCTGAAGAAGTGGGTTATGCCCACGAAAGCTCATGATACCATCTACATGTTTTGTTAGTCTTTAAGATGCAGACTAACTCGAAAGCTAACTGATTTAGTTAGGCTTGGTTCTGCTTTAGTTGAAGTTGGTCCTGCTTTGGGCAGTGGGTTGGACTAGATGTCCTCTTGAGGTCTCTTCCAGCCCTAGGATTCTATGAACTGTAAGTTTTGGGTCTGTGATGTATGTTGGATCATGACTTTTCTTTGTATGCAGATTACCACAGGGGGTTTTCTTGGAGATATTTGTGTTCCTTTTACAGGTTCAGGCTGTAGACAGACGTACAATATTAGGGGTCTGGTCAATTACTAGAGTCAATAACTAGGGTTATTAGGCTGCAGTAATATAAACAAAATAAAGATTGAGGCAAATTTTTAAATGGATGTTATATTTTTGGAAAAAATCACATGAAATATGTGAAACGTTTCATAAGGAACTTTGGGTGTTGTTTAGTCAGATCCTAAGCTGCTGTAAATCAGC